AAAAGTTTTTTGTTTTTAAATCCAAGCTATTGTGACACGGATCTAATTAGTGGCACTTGTCAGCGTATCCACTGTTAGCGTAACACACCCGCTTTAAGGACACTGACTGCTATTCAATCTATAACAGTAAAAAAAGTTTTTTGTTTTTAAATCCAAGCTATTGTGACACCAGATCTAATGAGTGGCACTTGTCAGCGTATCCACTGTTAGCGTAACACACCCGCTTTAAGGACACTGGCTGCTATTCAAACTATAACAGTGAAAAAAGATTATTTTTTTTTTAAATCCAAACTATTGTGACACCAGATCTAATTAGTGGCACTGGTCAGCGTATCCACTGTTAGCGTAACACACCCGCTTTAAGGACACTGACTGCTATTCAATCTATAACAGTGAAAAAGGATTTTTGTTTTTTTAAATCCAAGCTATTGTGACACCAGATCTAATTAGTGGCACTGGTCAGCGTATCCACTGTTAGCGTAACACACCCGCTTTAAGGACACTGACTGCTATTCAAGCCATAACGGTGAAAAAAGTGGTTGTTTTTTTTTAAATACAAGCTTTGTGTCACCAGATCTAAGTGGTGGCACTTCGTCACGTATCCACTGTTAGCGTAACGCACACCAGCTTTTAAGGACACGGCTGCTATTCAATCTATAACAGTAAAAAGTTTTTTGTTTTTAAATCCAAGCTATTGTATGTGACACCAGATGTAATTGGTGGCTTGTCGCGTATCCACTGTTAGCGTAATACACCAGCTTTAAGGACACTGACTGCTATTCAATCTATAACAGTGAAAAAGATTATTATTTTTTAAATCAAACTATTGTGACACCAGATCTAATTAGTGGCACTTGTCGAAGCGTATCCACTGGTAAGCGTAACACACCCGCTTTAAGGACACTGACTGCTATTCAATCTATAACAGTGAAAAAAGTTTTTTGTTTTTAAATCCAAGCTATTGTGTCACCAGATCTAAGTGGTGGCACTGGTCACCGTATCCACTGTTAGCGTAACACACCTACTTGAAGATAACTAACTGCTATTCAATCTATAACAGTGAAAAAAGTTTTTTTTTTTTTTAAATCCAAGCTATTGTGACACCAGATATAAGTGGTGGCACTGGTCACCGTATCCACTGTTAGCGTAACACACCGCTTTAAGGACACTGACTGCTATTCAATCTATAACAGTGAAAAAAGTGTTTTTTGTTTTTAAATACAAGCTTTGTGTCACCAGATCTAAGTGGTGGCACTGGTCACCGTATCCACTGTTAGCGTAACACACCTACTTTAAGGACACTGACTGCTATTCAATCTATAACAGTGAAAAAATATTATTTTTTTTTTAAATCCAAACTATTGTGACACAGGATCTAATTAGTGGCACTTGTCACCGTATGCACTGTTAGCGTAACACACCCGCTTTAAGGACACTGACTGCTATTCAATATATAACAGTGAAAAAAGTGGTTGTTTTTTTTAAATACAAGCTTTGTGTCACCAGATCTAAGTGGTGGCACTCGTCACCGTATCCACTGTTAGCGTAACACACCCGCTTTAAGGACACTGACTGCTATTCAATCTATAACAGTAAAAAAGTTTTTTGTTTTTAAATCCAAGCTATTGTGACACCAGATGTAATTGGTGGCACTGACTGGGGAAATGGGCACAGTATGCACTGTGAGCCTGACACAGAAGCTGGCAGCGGTGGCAGACAACTGACTGCTATTCAATCTATAACAGTGAAAAAAGTTTTTTTTTTTAAATCCAAGCTATTGTGACACCAGATGTATTTGGTGGCACTGACTGGGGAAATGGGCACAGTATGCACTGTGAGCCTGACACAGAAGCTGGCAACAGTGGCAGACAACTGACTGCTATTCAATCTATAACAGTGAAAAAAGTTTTTTGTTTTTAAATCCAAGCTATTGTGACACCAGATGTAATTGGTGGCACTGACTGGGGAAATGGGCACTGTGAGCCTGACACAGAAGCTGGCAGCAGTGGCAGACAACTAAGTGCATTTACATTAGATAGAAAAAAAAAATCCAAAAAAAGCATACCCTTATCCCTAACCTAGCTATGCTTTTCCCTATCTTATGAACAGCAGCTACACTTTCCCTCCTCTTACTAAGCATGCAGCTTGAGAATGAATCTAAAATGGATGCTGTCCAGTAGGTGGGAGGGTCTGCTAGGGAGGCTGTGCTGCTAATTGGCTGGAATGTGTCTGCTGACTGTGAGGTACAGGGTCAAAGTTTACTCAATGATGACGAATAGGGGGCGGGTCGAACCGCGCATATGTTCGCACGCCGTGGCGAACGCGAACATGCTATGTTCGCCAGGAACCGTTCGCCGGCGAACCGTTCGGTACATCACTACCTCTAACCTCTTCCCTCTCCTTTGTTCAGTAACGGCTCTCTCAAGAACTTTCCTCGTGTAACAAGATGGTGCTGGAATATGTAGGAGAGTGCCATTTTAGTAATTACATCACGCCCAGTAGGATGAAATTAGATGAGACCCCTTAAAGTGTAACCAATTGTTGAAGTGTATTCTCTGTTATCTATAATTATGCATATAATGTATTTTTGCTTTATAATGGGCTTCACACCCCTCGGAATAAAGCATTCCTTAAGTTTTTCATGAACCTGAAACTTGTGTCTGGTGTGAATTACTTTAGGAAGTGTGCACGCAATTGAATAACTAATTTGGACAGGAGCAGATAGTCAAATAATAAAACACTTGATTTGATCTATAACAGGATCTCCACATTGTAGCTATAATGTGGACAGTGGATTTAGTTCCACCATATGGCAATATTGTGTTAAGCCCAGATATTGTAACATTCAAGACCTTTGTCAAAGTAATCTCCAGATTGACTTATTTCTGTAAAACATGAAATAAATATCTGGGAACAGGGATGTGCAAAGAATGAAAATGTCTAATGTTGTGTTCTATTGAAAAGTTTACCAATAAAAAAAAATATATAAAATGGGAATCAGAACTCTTCCTTGCTCTGATTACGGCTGTAACCTGTTCATCACAACACTTCATTTTGCTGACTATGATCATGTGACCTTTTTGTCAGAGCACTTATTTCTATATTTGAAATATATATATATTTCTCCCAGCTCCCTCCTGACGTCATATCTAAGTTTGGAAGAACCACAAAACCTCTACGTCCGGTTCTGGTCCGTCATCTTCTCACAGCATTGTTAGGCCTGCAACTCTTCTGTCATCTGCTGCCTCCTCCTGTTCCCTGGGAATTCTCTGCAGCTCCTTCGGACCCAATGCAGTGCCTTCTTGTCACCTGCTTCCTGAGCGCACTGTCGTAACATGTTAGTAGGTCACTTGCCGGAAGGACAAAGATATCCCAGTTAACATTCCCCCCTTTGCTTTCAGCACAAATTCGTACTATAAACCATATCTAGGCCAATTGCATTAGACCAGGCCACTTTCAGACAGCCGGCTAATCCAGCTGCTCACACACATGGCAGCCTCACACATCCTTGGCCAGCATTCGACCACAAAAGCAATATCACTGTACTCACATGTCATGGTGCTCCTGTGTCTCTGTCCCTGTTTGGCCTCAAGTCATCATTCCCTCATATGAATTGAGCTCGTTAGCTGCCTTATGAAGTCAACTCACTGAAATGCATTCTGCTATAAAACAAATAAAAAAACTTGTAGAAGTTGCTAAACAACTAGTATGTCCTGAGTCCACAAACATGACATTGTTAAAATAGGGTACACTAACACAGTAAAAATACGAAAACATTTTTAATACACAACACATATACAAAATTTCACATAGAACAGGTAAAACATATATAATAAACCATGACAAGTGCATTCTGTTTTGAGAAATGTAGAGAAGGATCTCTTAAAGGGACACTATAGTCACCTGAACAATTTTAGCTTAATGATGCAGTTTTGGTGTATAAAACATGCCCCTGCAGCATCACTGCTCAATCCTCTGCCATTTAGGAGTTAAATCCCTTTGTTTTTTGAACCCTAGTCACACCTCCCTGCATGTGACTTGCACAGCCTTCCATAAACACTTCCTGTAAAGAGAGCCCTATTTAGGCTTTCTTTATTGCAAGTTCTGTTTAATTAATATTTTCTTATCCCCTGCTATGTTAATAGCTTGCTAGACCCTGCAAGAGCCTCCTGTATGTGATTAAAGTTCAATTTAGAGATTGAGATACAATTATTTAAGGTAAATTACATCTGTTTGAAAGTGAAACCAGTTTTTTTTTTCATGCAGGCTCTGTCAATCATAGCCAGGGGAGGTGTGGCTAGGGCTGCATTAACAGAAACAAAGGGATTTAACTCTAAATGACAGTGAATTTAGCAGTGAAATTGCAGGGGAATGATCTATACACTAAAACTGCTTTATTTAGCTAAAGTCAATTAGGTGACTATAGTGTTGCTTTAAAGGATTTTAGGCTGGGGGAATATTTGAAAGTGGGCAGGTGGTCGTTCCATAATTCCAGTGCTCTGTAGGAAAATGAGGGCCAAGACGCTTTCTTTTTGTATTATGGTAGACTAAATAAAGTGGTGGTACTTGATCAGAGGTTATAGGAGGAGGTAATAGCTGAGGAGAGCATTCTGCTCAGGTAGGGTGGGAGCTTCCCAGAAATGCTCTCAAACACAAGGCTGAAAAGATAAACGGTGCGTCTGGATTCCAGTTATAGTTTGTTTAGCTCTTTTAACATGTCACAATGGTGGGTTATATTATTATTTTGTTATTATTGTTATTTATATGGCGCCAACAGATTCCGTAGCGCTTATATATAATTAAATTTTAGCACAAAGCGGCAGAACGAGTTATACAATGTAGTACTTTTATCAAGGTGCGTTTGCGGTGCAGGTGCATACACTATATCCCCATAATCAATGACTGGCATTAGTATTTACTATACAATTTTTTCCTTTACTGTTAGGCTTAGGCAGGATTTGTTTCTGTACAGGCATCTAGTTTCGGATAAAGTTTTGATGAGAGTTTTTCTATGTGGAAACCAGATTGTCTAGCAACATAGCTATATATATATTTAAAAGAATGTACTGCGGTCAGTGTGTTATTTGATTTTGTTCTCATGCATAGATGGGAATTTTATAATTTGTGTAATTTAGGTACTGTTCCAATGATCATTGTGACAGTTTTGTCAGTGTTTAGGCGGAGTTTGTTTTTTGTGATCCATTTTTCTACCTCGTGAACTAGTCTTGGAGCACAACCTCAAATTGTGGTAGATTTGGCTTGCTTGCATAGATTACTGTGATGTCTGCGTACATGTGGTCATTTGAGGCTTTGCAGACATTATGCAGATCATTTATGAATAATGTAAATAGTAGGGGGGCGAGTATGGAGCCTTGGGGAACACCACACGTGACTGGGAGAGTCGCTTTCAGAAATACACACACATTGCAATCGATCAGAAACATATGATTGAAACCAGTTTAGCGGATTTTCACCAAAATTAGTACAGAGAATTTAACTTCTCTATATTGGGTCTTTGCAAATTTAGTGGAGGTCTAATCCACATTTGTAGTTTCACAATGTATGTCATTTATTAGCTTAGCAATCAGGGTGGTGGAACATCCAACAAAATAATTATTAACAGCATCTGCTACATCTATGGGGTGTTGCAGGGTTTGGTTGTCCACTTTGACAGTGGAGGCTTGGGAGTGGATTGCGGGAGTTTGTAAGTTATTTATGATTTTCCAAACGTTTTTAGGATTTGAAATGTTATTGTTCAAATTTTCACAGAAATATTGGTCCTACTGCAATACTCAATACTATTATACTCTGCAACATGCTGCAACACTCTATACTACTATACAACTATGCTCTGCAACATACTGCATACAAAAGTACTCTATACTACTTTACTCCGAGTCACATTGCGTATAGAAATACTCTATGCTATTACACTCAGCAAACACACAACTTACTAAGATATTCTATACTAGTATTTCCTGTGACATACTGTGTTCTATGTTACTCTGTACTGCTTTGTGCTGAAACGTACAGCATACTGCAATTCTCTATACTACTGTACTCTGCATCATACTGCAGACTGCATTACTCGATACTATCGTGCTCAGCAACATGCAGCGATGCTCTATTCTACTATACTCTACTGCATACTGCGATACTCTATACTGCTATGCTCTGCAGCACACAATATACTGCAATACTGTGTTGTACCATACTCTACTACGCACAGTATACTTTTATTCTCTATACTACTACACTTTGCAACATACTGCATACTGCAATACACTATACAAAGCAACACGCTGCCATACTCCATATTATTATACCCTGCTGCATGCTGCTTACTGCAATACTCTATAATACTATACTTTGCATCACATTGTGCAAGTGATCTCCTACACCACTAGCACACTTCTATACTCTATAATATTATATTATTAGATTTTTTTCCCCTGACGAAGATGCACGTAGCTGAGCACCGAATCACAAATCAGGTTCTTTCTGTTTTTATGGGCACTTCACTTTTCGTTTGACACATCTGGTACTATTTTTTTGATTTATGTATTATC